AAAACCACTAAGACTGAATTCACCCTTGCTATGTGCTCAGAGAACTCACGAACGCCCTCCACTGAGCACTGACAAATTATCGCACTGAGCAAGTTGATTAAACTTACACGTATCTCTTCGGAATGTTCAAGAACTGGACTGTCACAAAGTTTTCCAGATCCAAACAAAGGGAAAATCAGTAAAGCCGCTCAGCTATTGCAGGAACTATCACAAAGGTTGTTTGCTCCACCTGCATCAAAATTAGCACAGAAGCATTGGAACTTAAAATCCTACATCTCGACTCGACAGCTCTCTACGGGGTCGTGAAGGGACCAGTTTCAGTAGAAACAATCTAAACCATCAACAAATTTTGTTTTTTTCTTGGGAGATAGAAAGGCGAAAGAAAAAATACCTGGAGCAACGAGACTCGGTCAAATAAGCTTGTCAACGCGCTCCAATGCCTTTGCCTGGTGTTTCGATCCGGATCGGAGAGGTACTTTAAATCTCTCTGGATCGTCTAGAAAAAAAGAAAATCACTCCATCACTCAACGCGATCGCTTACCTGGACGAAAGCCGTGGCAGCTATGGCTTGATTGATCGCATTCGAGGGAGCGGCATCGCGAAGAGCAAAATACCTGCTAGGTAGACTTTCCCGATGAGAAATCCAAGGACGAGGCCTCTGCCAAGCTCCAGAAACTAAAAAGGATGGAATTAGAGTTTTGAGTTGTTTTACCTCAGGCATTGGCAATCGAGGGGGACGTCAATGGCGCTGCGGTTTTCTCTGCCTTGCCGAGGATCTCTCTGTCAATGGATTTAGAACAGGTAGACGCAATTCTTCCTTCTTTATTTCTTTCTCCATGGACTAGTCAAGGTATTCTTTGGAAATGCTTTTTCATTACTAACTTCTTGATTTGCTGGTGAACGAGGCTGTGAAAGAGTTCGTGCTACAGTTTCATGGCTTTGTAGTCCCTCAAGAATGGGCTGAGTGCATCAATCGACTCTTGAAACCTTGCAATGCTGTTGCTTGTCTTAATATTTAAATATACGTAAATATTTTAGGATATATTGTTATTCATTTAGATAAATTATGTATTTATAATTTATAAACTTTCCTAAACATTTCAGTTTATGTGATGATTAATATTAATTTTGATGTTTCTATCCATTTGATTAATAAATAATACTAAACAGAAATAAACACAACATAACTCCAACACTCTTCAAAGGCATGGAACTTGTAAACCCAAACAACATGGTCGTCTACGAAACTATGTCTTTTACATCACCAAAGAAATCTTTACATGACATACAAAATGCCTGGAATTCGCAGCAACTAGATTAAAACCTTGGAAGCTTAGTTATCACTATGTTGATCATCTCAAAAGAACCATGTTCAGTATACGTGTTTAAAAGAGTGGTCCAGGAAACAAGATCACGCTGTGGCATAACACTGACAAAAGACGTGGTTGCATCAATATCGAAAAAGAGCATGGCTTCCGAGAAGAATGTTTTTTGTTTTTGTTTTTGTTGCATTAATGTCTCCATGAAGAGCGTAACCAGTAAGATAGTGTTGCAGCACACTAAGTCCGTCATATGCAACTCATCAAACATTCGTTTAGATTCCAAAAGATGCCCTTATTGGGCATATGCATTCTACAGCACTGTCCAGCAAACGAGGCTGTCTTCTGGCATTCCAAACACCGAAAGATTCTTGGCATCTTCAAAATATCCTTGAGATGTGGAGCAAGAAATCAAAGCTGTATAAGAAATTAGATCGTGCTCAGGCATTTGATTAAACAAGTCCTTTGAAATCTTCTATCCAGCTTTGGCAAAAGGATTCAACATTGCATTCCAAGTTGCCGTGTTATGCACTGGAATAGTCTGGAAAAGATGCCAAGCATCTTGCAGATGCCCATTCTGCGCAAACGCAGTCCAAGACACTAGATCTTTAGTCGGCATCTTCTCTTTGCTCCATTGATATCACGAGTGAGATGAGTTTTCTAGTGTAAACAACAGGATTCCTATTAAAGACAAGGATCCACAGCACATTCTCAGGTAGAGTCCCCACTCAACCAAAACTTATCAGCAAACCAAACGAGCACGGATATTCCGTCACTATAACGTACAGCGACATTCTCGGCTATGGCGGATTGAGGAGACCTAATTCAGTGCGGCATGGCGCCAGTGTAGGTCTGGGATTCGCGATGGACGACATCGATCTGGAGCTTGGAGCCGAGGACGAGCACGGAGGTTTCGACACGCAGGCGCTCGTCCAGCTCCAGCAGCAGCACGAGCAAATCGAGCGCTCGCTGCATGGCGCGAGCTCCAGCAGCGCATTGTCGCTCCAGGAGGCCGCTCAGCAGGAGCAGCAGGACAAAGGTGAGAGATTCTCCCTCATCAGTTCGATATTTCCAGCGATTTAGAGCTGACACGAGAAATTATTTTGGAAGATCATCAGCAGGGGCAGCAACAGGCTCCCCGGAAGAAGAAAGTGGTGAAGAAATGGAGGGACGAATGGGCCGACACTTACAAATGGGCCTACGTTGCGCTCCAGGAGGGGAGTCCTCGAATTTTTTGCCGCGTTTGCAAGGAGTTTGGCCGCAAGCACAGAAGGAATCCCTATGGAAACGAGGGCAGCCGCAACATGCAAATGAGTGCTCTCGAAGAACACAACAACAGTTTGCTACACAAGGAAGCACTGCGATTGCAAGCAGCGTCTAGAGACAAGGGACATGGAATGCTCGAGCGTCCAGTTTATATCAAAGGTACTCGATTTGTTTCCACTTTGATTGCTTCTCTTATAAGATCACATTGTCTTGCATGGCGAAGCTCTTCTATCACGAACTTCCGAGTCTATAATCGAGGGTGTGGCAAGAAGAGATCCAAATGAAGCAGAGTTCATCCAAGCGGTACACGAAGTTGTGCATACTTTGGAACCTGTTCTTACCAAGTATCCACAGTAAGCTTCAAAAGTGTTTTTGCTTAGAGCTGATTGTTTTTCGGCTGTCAATAGATACGCTCATGTCCTGGAGCGGCTTTTGGAGCCGGAATGTATCATCATTTTCAGAGTTCCGTGGATGGATGACAAAGGTGAAATTCACGTGAACAGAGGATTCAGGGTAAATTTCTGTCAAGCTCTTGGTCCATACAAGGGTGGCTTGAGGTTTCATCCGTCTGTGAATTTAAGCATCATCAAGTTTCTGGCTTTTGATCAAGTGAGTGACCAACATTTTCTCTCTCGTAAGCTTTATTGATTCTAATTCCGTGCGGCTGCAGACGTTGAAACATTCATTGACACCGCTCAATCTGGGTGGTGCAAGAGGTGGAAGTGATTTCGATCCCAAAGGGAAGAGTGATAACGAGGTTAGGCTTTTGTATGTTTTAGAATGTGGCCTAAATTCATGGCAGTGTGAAGTTTGTAGGTTCTACGTTTTTGTCAGAGCTTTATGGAAGAGCTTTATCGCCACATCAAGGCTCATCAGGTTGTCATCGTCTTTTTGTGCTCAGAATATTTATTTGACTAAAACTATTTTTTCTAGGACGTGTTTACTGGTGACATTGGTGTCAACTCCAGAGAAGTGGGATATCTTTTCGGCCAGTATCGTCGTCTAACAGGCCATTTTGACGTATGCTTGCTTTGTAATCTGCATTTTCTGTAATCTTTTTTGGCCTCTGGACTGATCTCTGATAACTGCAGCTGTCTTCAGCAGGGTGGGCTAGTCGAAACATTCGAAGCATAGCGACTGCTGCCACGGGTTATGGTCTGGTAAGTAGCTATCTTTTTTACTTTCGTTCTTCGGTGACCTGGTTTGAACGGTTTCAGGTTTATTTTGCGAAGTTTCTTTTGGCTGATCTGAACAAGGATCTAAGGGGCCTAAGGTAAATATTTTGTTTACAAGAGTTTTGAGCTTTAGCGATGTAATCTGCTTTAGGTGCGTTGTAAGCGGATCTGGGAAAGTAGCTATTCACGCATTGGAAAAACTCATCAACTTCGGTGCAGTTCCCGTGACCGTATCAGGTCTAGTCTGCTCTTCAAGATAATAGTAACCGATGTTTGCAATTTTGGCAGACTCTAAGAGCTACTTGCTAGACGACGATGGTTTCGACAATATCAAACTCGCTCTGATAAAAGAAATCAAGTTCCAACGGAAAAGCTTGCGGTACGTTCTATTGCGCTCATGTCTAAGCATTCAATTTTCGATCCTGAAACAGGGAGTACACAAAGAGGTACTCGAAAGCACGCTTCTATGAAGACGCGAAACCGTGGGGAGAGAAATGCGATCTCGCGTTTCCTTGCGCGACGCAAAACGAGATCAATCATTCAGATGCTTTGGCTCTGGTCAATGCGGGATGTCAAGTACTCATCGAAGGTAAGGTCTCTTTGGTTGCCTTCTTTCTTTTAACATTGTCTAGTTACTCTTGTCAGGGTCCGACATGCCGTGCACAACGGAGGCTGCGGAGGTGATTCGCAAGGCTGGAATTTTCATTGCGCCTAGCAAAGCTGCGAATGCCGGAGGGGTAATGTTTGTACCTTGCAGGTCACTTTGTTTGACATGTTCATGTGTTGCGGCGAACCAGGTGGCCATTACGGACCTGGAGGCGATGCAAAACAGCAGCTGCATTCAACTCTCAGCGGAAACAATCGACGCTCAACTCCAGGCACGTCATTCGTTTGTGAAACTTGCGTCTAAACTTGTATCCCTCTTGTGTAGGAATTCGTCAGGACGATGTACCTGAAGTGCCTGGGAGTGGCAAACGAGTATGGATTTCCCAGAGGAGCCCCAGAGTAAGCAAGTTTTCTTCTCTCCTTTGCAACTCATCCCCTCGCTTAGCTCGTTCGTTAACTCTAACCTCTCACAGTTTCTAGCTCAAGCCATTCACGACTTGTTTTGACTAGCAATTCAATCACGGCAAAACTCACGCAGTGTTTTTGGATCAGGTCACTAGTCTACGGTGCAAACATTGCGAGCTTTCTCCGCGTTGCTCAAGCGCTTCTGGAACAAGGCTGTGTGTGATTGCGGGGAAAGGAAGATAGCCACCATATCCATCCATATATGCTATGTACAGGTGTAAATAGCATTGATCCGGACGAACTAATCGTTCTAAAGAAGAAGAAGAAGAAAAGAAGGAAGAAGAGGAATAACTTTTGATTTTATGTACAAAACAAAATAATAACCTAATGACTCGTGCCACGTGGAACGCATAGAGCGGTTCGATCTGCCACCCCATTGGACGGCCGATGTCCCGCGGAGCTTTTTTGAATTCAAAATCCGCGAAACCTACCAGTCCACAATTCGAACACGGGACCTCAATGCGTGTCCACGCTATAAAGCTGGAAGAAGGGTCTCCTTGCCCTGTTCCTCATTCCTCCTCCTCCACAGCTATGGCGTCTCTAGGGCATCAGGGCGGCAGCCGGCTAGGGCTCGCGGGGCTGGCCGTGATGGGCCAGAATCTGGCGCTCAACGTCGCGGAGAAGGGATTCCCCATCTCCGTCTACAACCGGACGGCGAGCAAGGTCGACGACACGGTGGATCGCGCGGCGCGCGAGGGCAATCTCCCGCTCTACGGCTTCAAGGATCCGGGTGAGTTCGTGGCGTCGCTCCAGAAGCCGCGCGTGATCATAATCCTGGTCAAGGCCGGGCGGCCGGTGGACGAGACGATCGAGCTGCTGTCGAGCTTCCTGGAGCCCGGGGATTGCATCATCGATGGGGGGAACGAGTGGTACGAGAATACCGAGCGCCGGGCCGAGGCCGTGCGGCAGAAGGGGCTCTTGTATCTGGGAATGGGGGTCTCTGGCGGTGAAGAGGGCGCTCGCTATGGCCCCTCACTTATGCCCGGTGGAGCCGTGGAGGCTTTCAAGTACATAGAGGATGTTGTGAAGAAGATCGCTGCTCAGGTGGACGATGGCCCCTGCGTGACTTACGTTGGCCCTGGTGGAGCTGGGAACTTCGTGAAGATGGTTCACAATGGGATCGAGTATGGCGACATGCAGCTCATCTCCGAGGCCTACGACGTGCTCAAGTCCGTGGGTGGCCTCACCAACAAGGAGCTCCACGAGACTTTTGCGCAGTGGAACAAGGGCGAGCTCGAGAGCTTCCTGATCGAGATCACGTCCCACATCTTCTCGGTCAAGGACGACAAGGGCGATGGCGAGCTCGTGGACAAGGTCCTGGACAAGACGGGCATGAAAGGCACCGGGAAGTGGACCGTCCAGCAGGCCGCGGAGCTCTCGGTGGCGGCTCCCACGATCGAGGCGTCGCTCGACTCGAGGTTCCTGAGCGGCCTCAAGGAGGAGAGAGTGGCGGCGGCCAAGAACTTCAAGGAGCTCGGGGTGTCGGACATCTTGGCTCCCAGCAACGTCGACAAGAAGGAGCTCATCGACGGCGTCCGGAAGGCGCTGTACGCGTCCAAGATCTGCAGCTACGCCCAAGGCATGAACTTGATCCGGGCCAAGAGCATGGAGAAGAGCTGGAACCTCAACTTGGGCGAGCTGGCTCGGATCTGGAAGGGGGGCTGCATCATCCGGGCGGTGTTCCTGGACCGGATCAAAAAGGCCTACGACCGCAACCCGGATCTGGCCAATCTGCTCATGGATCCCGAGTTTGCGACCGAGATGGTGGAGCGGCAGGGCGCTTGGAGGAAAGTGGTGACGCTGGCGATCAATGCCGGGATCAGCACCCCGGGGATGAGCGCGAGCTTGGCCTACTTCGACACGTACAGGCGCTCGCGACTGCCCGCGAATCTCGTCCAGGCGCAGCGCGATTATTTTGGAGCTCACACCTACGAGCGAGTGGATCAAAGCGGGTGGTTTCACAGCGAGTGGCACAAGCTCGCGTCGGCCTTGTGAGGGAGGAGCCGTGAACACGCACTTTTGGTGCGCGTCGGTTTTGGATGGATAAAAGGCCATGGATGGAGACCCTCTTTTCTTTATACTTTTTGATTATTTGGATGGACTAACTTAAAAAGGTAATAAACCAAGTCCATCTTAAACCATGCCATCTTCGTCACCCTTGTGATACATTATCGTGAACAATGCAACGGACAAAGTCTTTCAACTTTCCTTCCCATAAAAATGCCTCGTTCCTCGGACGACCTTTGTTAGCTCCCATTTTCGACTCCACAATGCCTGCTAGCCGGTCAAGTTTCGTTGCTAGCCGGTCGATGCTGTACACGTATAGGACAGCATACTTAAAGGAAGATCATCGAGCGGAGGTGGCATACCTTGGCTGCCATGTGGAGGATCGTCTCCTTCGCGGTCTAGTTAAGGAATGAAATAGGGCAGTGTTAAGTATTCTAAAGCAAACCAAAGAAAATTCTTTGATGGAGGAACCATGGCAATTGCAATGACGTTGAGATTGCTGGGCAAAATGCACGATCGATGGTGGCAAGGGCATGGTGTTGGCTGATTCACAGCCTTTGGGAATCATCACTGGCGTGAAGAAGCCGGCATCGTTGTGGATTTTGTCTTGTGAATGTCCCGTGGCGAGTTGACATACCCTTTGCTCTTGAGTCCGAGAGCTAAGGAGCTTGTGGGAGTGAAGTAGTGGAAAGAATTTTCTCGTGTTTAATGCTTTCGTTCCTCACAGTCAACGGTAGTCAATCTTGGTCAGTCTGTCAATATTATTCCATCTCTTCTTCCTGCAGCAACAAGCAGAGCCTGGGTATGGCGGGGAAACGCGAAGCTGTGCACGATCAGGCGTCCCGGGGCTACTGTCACAAAAATGCAACACAGGCCTCAAATAAACCTTGCACGGCGGTGGTAGAATCCTGCTTTAAGAGTACTTGGATTCGAAGAAACATGATACACACAACTAGTTTAGTTGTCCTTCACCTCTGCAAGAACAAGCATTTGATGAGAAGAGGAAGTCTCACTCCTCCATTGCACAACCCGCTTCACCGCCGCCTACCTGCGAGAACAAGCATTCAATGAGAAAGAAAAATACATTGAAAAACCGAATCCTTACTCTTCCATTGCACGAACTTCTCCCGCTTCACCACCGCCGGCAGCTTCCTTGACATCGATGGTCACGTCGTACTCCTGATCGCAACCGAGGTACGCGTCACACATGAAGTAGAGCTTATAGTTCTTGACACCCGCCTCCTGCGGAGTGAACTCCAGCTTGCACTTGTTCCTCCGCTGCAGTGTCACCCTCTTGATCGCCAGCAGCACATTGTTCGCAGTGTCGCCGAGAACTAGCCACCACCCCTCTTCCCTCGTCTTTGCAAGCCTGGGAGCCTCCACGATTCCAACCTCCTCGTTTCCTTCCACTTCCCTCTCCAGCGTCACCTGAACAGCAACTGGCTCTCCCACGGTCGCCTCTGCCTCGTCCAGCACCTCGAAAGCCATATCGATGTTTGGAAACCGGTTGCACGTCCGAGCGATTGCTAGCAGCTGCGAGTCGTCCATTCCCAGCAGCTCCCGCCTTTCCCCGTCTTCCATCTCGAGCAGATCAAACACCGTCTCCACGTTCCTCTCCTTGCACTTCTTCGCTAGATCCTTGGTGAAGTGCGGGAGCTGCAGGAGCACCGAGTCTCGCTCCCACAGTCCCTGCGTTACCATCTGACTTATCTCCATGGCTGCAAGCGCCGGGTTGAGCCAAGCGTTGCTGGCTATCACGTCGACCATGGCCTGGAGAAGCTTGATTGCCTGGAGCAGCACCTCACGCTGGTCCATAGCCAGATTACCCGGGACGGGATGCCTGGAGAAGTGAGCTTGCAACAGCGCGTTGGCCTTGAGGTGTGGATCCGAGTACTTCGGCTTGTCAACCGAGAAGCGCTGGTGGTTGACAAGCTTTCGGACGATATCCTCCTCGCCAGGTCTCACGGGAAGAGTAGCGTACTCGGACGCAGAAGCCAGGATCTCCAGCAAGCCTTTCATCTTCGTCTTTGCAGTCAGAGAGTTGCTGAAGAGCTCGATGGTAGTGTATCGTATGTAGTAGTAGGACGCGATCATTCCCAGGTTGAGTGGCGACAGCTCCATATCGTCCTCCACTGCGATACACTTGCTGGACTCCAGATCGTTGAGAGTCGACTCTACAAGCTCGGAGAGATGATCCGAAAGGTGCCGATGGCTCACGCCCTGAAGGTTGTAGTAGTTTGGATTCTGAGTCAGCCTCCGGTACATGAGCGTCCATGTCAAGTAGTCCACTGCATCCTGCTTGTTCTCGATGGTATGCACCACTATCTCTGCGTTGAGATGGTCGTGGATGTAGTGATCCAAGTGGCTCTCCACGGGGAAAGGCTCGTACAGGAACTTCTTGTAATACTCCTTACGAGGAGCATGGCATAAGATGACACACTTGCCAGAGCTGTCCACCAGAGGCCTGCTTGCACGCCCCATCATCTGCAGAAGATCCGTAATAGGATAGTCTGTGTGAGCGTTCTCTCTGCCGTCGTAGTACTGCGTCCCCATGACCACCAAGAGGTGCGCAGTAAGTGTCATCCCCCAGCACATAGAGCTGCTTGCAACGCACACCTGAATGGCTCCGGCACTGAAGAGTTCCCCAACAATGTCTTGCTCGGTTGGAGACAAGCCTTCGTGGAGATATCCGACACCACCTTGCAGAGTCTCCTTGAGCTCGGGATCCCTTATCCGCTCCAGCAGGGGCTCCAAATCCTTCTCAGTGCACTGCAAGAAGCTGTTCCCGCCGGCCAGCGCGTAGAGAACGAGGTCGGAAGCAGTAGAGCGTGCATGCTTCCTCGTAGGAACAAAAACCAAGGCCGGTTTTCCACCCTTGGCATGCTGGAGAATGGCTGTGAAAGTTGGCTTCGTCATCGCTTGAACCCGAGCTTCAAAGTTCGTGATGTCGACTCCCTGAATGTGGATCTCGAGTGGAACTGGTCGCACAGCCGGAGAGAAGTTGAAAAGTCCGTGGGAGCTCGCTCCGATCCAGTCACCCAGGTCCTTGGCATTAGCCAGTGACGCCGACAGTGCGACTATCCGGATTTTGTCTCCAGCTTGCTTCGAGATATAACGCATTCTAGAAACAATAACTTCCAGAACCGGACCACCTTCACCACCGATCAAGTGAAGCTCGTCTACCAGGAAGAGATTAACCTGTCCGATCTGCTTCCGCTGCTTCCACCTTCGTGACAACACATCCCACCTCTCTGGTGTGCTGATAATCACCTGGCCTCTGTCCAAAAGCTTCAAGTCCATAGCAGTTTCCCCTGTCAGCTGCACCACTTGAACTTTCAAGTCGGCGAACTTCTTTTCCCAGTCCTCAAACCGCTCCTTCGCAAGAGCTTCTTTCGGAGCAATGTAGACACATTTACCACCTCCAGTGTCCGCGTTCTTTTGCAGCATGCGTAGCACGGCAAACTCTCCACAGATAGTTTTTCCGCTTCCCGTTGGCGCTGCAACAAGAACGTTGTCATCTGTGTTGTAGAGAACCGTGAACACCTGTGTCTGAATAGGATTGAAGTGCTTGAACTGCTGGTAGAGAGCTTCAAAAGAAGGCTCCCGCAAAGCTGTGACCGGAAGAGGCTGCAGGTCCAGAAGCTCCGTTGGAGGTGGATACTTCTCGGGTAGAATCAAGTGCCTGAAAGAAACCGGAAGCACAGTCTCCGCTTTCAGCCACCTGTCCGAGATGACACGGATAAAATACTGCGGCGGCATCGGCTCAAAAATCGGAACTGTGAAGCTCAGGTTGTGGTCATCCTCCACGTACTGCATCTTGAGTAGGAAATACTCGTGGTGAAGTATGGTCTCGCCATCATTATCCTCCACGATGACCCAAAATGGCTCCACAAAGCCATGAATCTTCTCGTCCCACTGAAAGTCCGGTGTGATGGTCAGGTCCACCTTGAGCACGGACCTTGTGATGGGTTGAACATGTGCGCTCAGCTCCAGCTTTGGAAACTGATGAACGAACTTGTGGATCATCTTTCCAAGTTTCGGAATGCGGATAAGCTCTCCGATCTCCTGCGATGTCAGGTCATAATACCGCTCCCACGCATAATCCTTCTTCTCAATCTTGGTGAGAACGTCGATTGGAATGCCTTTGAACTGCCGCAACGGTGTCTGCGTGCTCCACATTCTCCTCTGGACCATTTTGCAAAGGTTGAGAGCCTTTTCAGCCAGTTGAGCCCAGCCCCGCTTCAAAACAATCTCAAACAATGCGCGCATCAACCGTCCGGCACTCTGCAAAACCATGCGCACGTTAGTTTGAAGCAAAGTGAAGTCCAATTCTCTTACCTGTGTTATGAACGTCATATCTGTGAAGAGAGAGAAGCCTTCAAGCTTCAGCTGCGATATGTAGGCTTGAAGCAGTACGTTGATCTTGGCGGACGGCTCCTCCAGACTCTCCTTGACAGGTACCGGAACTCTGTCCAATAACTTGGCGAGCTCAAGTTTTTCTTCCTCCCTGACCCCAACATTCTTGAACTCTTCGCTTTGTGAAAACAACCGGCACAGTTCGATCTCTCCCATCGTTGGCTTTAGGTGCTCATTGTACGTGGCCATTGTACCGTGGCTGATATAGTAATGGCTAGCAATTCGGCCAAGGTCCGTCACCTGGAAATAGCCACTCTTTCGATCATATTTCACCAGATTGTTCTTGTCCAGAATTGTTGCCGCAGTATGAATCTACAAAAAACAAGGTTAAGTAACGTTTTCAGATTTTCTATTACTAAAAGTGCTTACCAAGTCCGCCCTCCTCTCCTCCAATGTTTCGTCAGTCTCGAGTACTTCTGGGTTGACGCCATAAAGCAGTGGGTTCCGCAGCATCCGGATATACAAGTACGTGTAGCCAAGCCACGCACAAGCCTCCCTCGCATTTTGCACGCTCCCAAGCACAATCTCGGCGTTGAGGTTGTCCGGCAGCTTGGAGATGAACTGACTTTCGATTGGAAGCTGCTGGTTCATCAGTGAAAGATAATACGAGAGCTCGCTGTGGCCAGTGATGATAATGCCTTCGCCAGTGCTATCAAACTGAGGCCGTCCAGCACGCCCAAGCATTTGCATCACGTCCATGGGACTTAGCTCCGTCCAAGCACCTTTCTCGGGATTGTACACCTGAGTCCCTTTGATGATAACGGTATGGGCCGGAAGATTTACTCCCCAAGCTAGAGTCGCAGTCGAAACCAGCACCTGGATATGCCCGTCTGCGAAAAGTTCCTCCACAAGAGTTCTGTCGGCTCTCGCCATTCCAGCGTGGTGAATGGCAAAACCGTACGACAGAAGGCCTTTCAAGTCCGTGTTCTTCACGTTCTCCGCCTCGGTCCGCAGGATCTCACTACTAGCGCTGTCTCCCTTCAAGAATTTCCCTAGAGTATCATTTGTGAGCGCCGAGTCCCGTATAGCTTTTGCTGTCTTTGCCGTCTCCTTCCGAGAGTGCACAAAGATGAGAATCTGGCTCTTTCCCGCAACAGCCAACACCTTCTCGTAGCAAATCTCGTTCATGAGCTGGAACCTTTGAAGCGGCTTCTTCACGGATATCCCAACGTACTGCTGACTCAAAGGGACCGGCCGGAAGCTGTTGTCGAAGTGAAACAGGCCCCTCGACTTGTCCACCCTCAGGAACATGGACACGTCCACGTAATTCGGCAGTGTCGCGGATAAGCCCACCAGCCTGATCATATCGTGCGTTGTTTCAACCTGGCGAAGTGTTCGAGCCACAATACTCTCCAGAACTGGACCACGGCCATCGTGCAGCAGATGAATTTCGTCGATGATAACCAGCTTGACAAGTTGAGTGTAGGCCCTGTCGCCTGATTTTCGGGTGATGATATCCCACTTCTCCGGAGTCGCTACGATGATGTGCGTCTCTTCAATTTGCTGCCGAGAAAGCGACTGATCTCCAGTGAGCTCCTTCACTACAACACCATAGTCCGCCAGTCTCTTCTGAAGATTCCCAACCATCTCAGCGACCAAAGCCTTCATCGGAGCAATATAGACGATCTTTGTGTGACTGAGATCAAAAGTACCATCCGACTCCTGCTTCGAACCAAGCTCTTGAAGAATGGTGAGCAACGCAACGTTGGTCTTGCCAGCGCCTGTTGGTGCGCAAAGGAGAATATTTTCCTGAGTAAAGAGAGCCGTCTCGTAAACTCTGCTCTGGATGCGATTCAACGTTTTCATCTCCTTGAATGCAGGCTGAGCCCAAGACGGCAAGTCCGATATCTTGACCAGCTCTTCACCTTCCTCCATTGGCTTCACCTTCATGGCAGGAACATGAACTTCCTCGTATCCTTTCTTCATCGTCCTGTAAGTGCCCTCCGGAAGCTCGCACTTTTTGTTGGCCATGAACAGGCCCTCCTTCTCAAACGCCAGGTCTTTCAAGTCGAGAAATTGCCGCTGGCCTTGCCATCCTCCTTCCAAGACCACCTCCCTCTCCGGCCTTCGATCCTTTTCTCCGTCACCACCTTCTTCACGGAGTTTCCTCGCTTCCTCACGGATACTACGCTCCAGATTCTTTTGCCGCTCCTGCAAAGGCTCGATCTCGTTAGATAAGAAAGAAACAAGAATATGTAAATACATTACCTTCGCAGTCGCTCGAGTAGCGTGGAGCTGCTCCAGAATTCCCGACAAAACCGAACCTCCCTCCGTCATCTCATCTTCAATCCTTTTCCTCTCTTTATCGTCCTGCGATCGGGCCAGCCGAGTGCACCAGACAATCTTCCACCTGTTCTTGAGGAGCAACTTAATGAGCCCAAACTTGTCATAGTCCAGGAGCATGACGAGCCTGTTCTCCACGTCCCTCTCATCGCCCTCTCCAAGAGTTTGCAGAACCTCCTCGGCAAGCTTCTGGCTGTGCTGAGGCTCAATCTCCTCGTACGCCTGAGTGATCTTCCGCTGGAGCCAGTACGCATCGATATCCTGGACGTTGAGTCCTTCGTCCGCCTCCTCCATGTCCTCGTCATCGAGGCCTCCCATTTGCATTGCTGATGCCTCGTTCGTCTCCTGACCATCTTCCTCGTTCTCACTCTCCTCCTGGACTTCGTCAACATCGCTCTCCTCTTCCTCGTCCTCCTCCTCGAACTCCACAGCCACGCCGATATCATCATCCAGAGCCTCCCCGGCAGCACCGCCAGCGTCACCACCATCGTAGAAGTCGACAATGATCTTCCCGATATTCACGAGCTGGTTGAATCGCTCCTGGCCAAGCTCGTTGAGCAGCTTCTCCAGCTCCTTCTTCTTGTCAGAGTCTTTCATCTTGTCATTCTTGAGCACCACTAGCACTTCGTCCGCCGCTCCACGCAGCACGTCCTGTGGCTGGTCCCCAAACTGCTGCTGGATCGTGCTGAGCAGTGCCTCGTATGCCGCCCGCGTCTCTTTCGTCTTTGGGCGATAAGTTCCCTCTTCTTGCAGCGACAAAACACTCTCCTCCTGTGACCCCTTTGATCGCTTGCTGGGCCGCCGCAGCACATCGTCCTGATTCTCCTTCTCCTTGCGCTTGCTGGCCTTGGCCTTCTTCTCGAGGAGCTCCGGCGGCTTGCCATGATCTACTCTATCCCCAAACCGCCGCGGATCTATCCTACCCCAGAGGCTCTCCGGCTCACCTGTGGGCTCGTGAGTGTCGCGCGGCCGTGTGTCGGTCGTCAGCACCAGACTGGAGTTGGCGCGGTACTCGTACTGCTTGAACCGGGCGTGCGCCTCAGCACCGCCTCCCAAATGCGCCATAGCTTCTGCCCTAGTTCCCAAAGCCCTAAATCGGATATTTGTGTGAATATTCTCTGGTGAGATGTTAAGTAGCTTAAATAAAGTTCTTGAGGAGGAGTTTTATCAGTGCTGGTTGACACCACTGTTAAAATCTAACCTCATCCTTGTGCCAATTAATCTTTGCTGTACACTAACAAGTTCACTATACATGCTCATTTTGGAAAATGTATGCCTGGGAAATCATGAACAATGCAAAAATTTATTATTAACCAAGAAGAAATATTAAAACAAAATCCATAAAACAAACATGGAAAACTCAATTTGTTTCTCTTTTGTTTTAATCTCGAAAAAGTTCTCCAACCGTGCCAATGCTTACCTTTATTAAGCTTGTGCATATCAGGACTCATTTGGTCGTCAATAAGTTTATGTATTATATAATCAACCCTGTCCTCTTCAGGTTTGGCATAGATTCTGCCACAAGCACACTCAATAGCCTTGCGTGGTAGTCTAAAATGTATAGCTGGTCTTCCACCTCCTAGCTCATCCTCCGTAGTTCCTAAGCCCTAGATCCTGATATATTATTCTATTCTGCCCTCAAATTTAAGGAATCTTATTATTTGAATCTAAAAGATAAATATTAGGATTTTAAATTGAGCAATATATAATGATGCCAAATGGGTAGCACAGTAGCACTGTTGTTGCCTCTTACAGCAATGAAAGAAAAAAAGGAGGTGCAAAAGACGTGCATATTTATGGTACTGGGTATTGGAGATACATTCAGCTGTAATCTTTTGTTCATATTATCATGGTTCAATTTAGGGTGGATGAATTGTCTATGTCAATGTGAATTCTATGTACCCAATGATGGAACTCTCTTGTTGGAGCATCACAAGGAGAGCATCACGGTATGGTATAAGGTCAGCATCGCACCCGTTGGAATAGGACACGTCCGGATGTGTGCCAGGTGTCACTAGAATAAGAACCAACCTCCCTTCACATATATCCTCGTCAACAACTCTCATTCATTAACTGTGCGCTATGGCCGATACATAGTCTCTATTGTGTAGAACACTCTAGCGGCGCCGCTAGGAGACTTATAGAGACTAGCGGCGCCGCTCCCGCCTAGCGTCGCCGCTGTCCACAAAATTCACGGTGGAGGATTTAGTATTTTGGGTTTTGGAGCACGAACCGGGCAAGATCACGAGCGCCTTGCCTGGGAGCCTCTCCGGATCCCGCATTGCGGCAATCGAATCGGCAGATCGGGCGAGCGGGCGCCCGGCAATGTCAGGGATGAAAGCCGATCGTGTCAGCTACACGGAGGTGTGATTTCTCGGCCAGGACGAGCTCTAATCCGGATCTTTCTCCCTTTCTGTGCAGGAATTCATCTACAATTCCAGAGGCACGAGGCTTTTCACTTGCCGATGGATCCCGCTGCGCCAGGATGTCAAGGGATTGGTCTTTCTTTGCCACGGTAACGCGAAATATTTCCTGTTCTACCGAGATCTTCCTTGAAATATGCGTTCTTGGATCGCTCTTTGTGCTCCTAGGATATGGAATGGAATGCAGCCGATTCATGAAAGGTATCGAGGCATTGATCGCTAGAGGTCGGCAGTGATAAATTCTCATCTTTATCCAGGAACTGGACAACGCCTGTCAAGAGCTGGATACGCGGTGTTTGGAATCGACTATGAAGGCCATGGAAGATCTGAGGGGCGGAGATGTTACATTCGCAGCTTCGACTATCTCGTGGACGATTGCATCGTGTTCTTTAAGAACGTCCGAGGTGAGAACCTCCATGGAATTGTTATTTCATCGTCAACACTTTTGGATCCCATAGAATGGCCGGAGTATAGAAGGAAGCCATGCTTTCTTTACGGCGAGTCCATGGGAGGCGCTGTGGCGCTACTCGTCCAGAAGAAGACTCCAGGCGAATGGAACGGGGCAATCCTGGTGGCTCCAATGTGCAAGGTATAAACAAAACAAAGCTCGTGATTTTCTCCAAAGTTTACACTATCTTTGTCGCAGATATCAAAGAATATGAAGCCGCATCCACTGCTAATTCGCGTCCTCGTGAAGCTGGCCCGCACGATCCCGACTTGGAAGGTCGTCCCCATCAAAGACGTGATCGGCCAAGCCTTTAAAGATCCTGTGAAACGAGAGGAGGTAACAGATACTCATCTCTCTCAAGCTTTTCTCTTTTCCTTCGCTTACGACTTGCAAGCAATCGAACTATAACTCGTTCACCTAACGTCATGAGGTTGTTTTCCAGATCCGAGACAACCCTTACGTCTATCAAGGCCGCCCACGATTGCGGACAGCGGTGGAGATGCTCTACACAAGTCTCAATCTTGAATGTCAGCTCCATGAGGTACGACCACCTTCCAAGCTTTTCTTAAATCGCATCGTATCGCTGGCGAGCTTTCTCTTTTCTAGGTGAAGCTCCCATTTCTCGTGCTCCACGGAGAGAACGACGTCGTCACGGACCCGGCCATCAGCCAGGAGCTCTACGACTCGGCCGGGAGCCTGGACAAAGCCATCAAGATCTACCCCGGTATGTGGCACGGCCTCACGTCCGGAGAGCCCGACGAGAACATCGACATGGTCTTCGAGGACATAGTAACGTGGCTCGACATGAGGTGCCCCCCCGGAAGCCTGGCAGCCAGTCCCATACGATTCTCGGACATCCAGACGCGACGAGCAATGCTGGCTTGCAGCAGCCCGCTGAGGCTGGAGGACGCTCACACCAGGCAGCCGGGCATGGTTGGATCGCTGCGGCATAGGCATCTCACCGGCCAGACCAGCGAAGCGTCCAGCGTCCCCGCCAGCCCGATGAGACTCTTCGAGTTCCGGAAGAGAGACCTGGCGTCCTCGCCGAGCGTTCCCGCCAGCCCCATGAGAGACTCGGAGCGCAAGTGCTTGCGGTGGATGGATCACAAAGGTGGCGACTCTTGCGCTCGCGGTGCTGCAAGACACGACCACGCGAGTCACCGGCTTCCAGCGGTGATGATCAGATAGCAAAGCTCCCAAACGCATAAAAATAAGAAGAAGAAGGCGGAGAATTCAAGTGAGAGGTACTCCCTTTTCTTATTTCTTTTTGGGACGTTTACGTTTCCTCTTGCGTTTCTCTTTCTCTCCTCCTAGATTCCCAGGCACTGCCACTCTTGTGTGGTCCTGTGTGGCATCTGGGACAGTGGATCCACGGCTGGTGGTGGCGTTATGCTGTTCCATTTTCCTCTTGTTCTGTGTCGACTGAGAGACAGAAAATGTACGCCAGATGAGAGTGCGTTTTTTCGATCGATACAAATACTAACCGGTCGCGTCGCAGTCTGATGGTGTTTCGTTTGTACGGGGTTTGAGTTTGATTGTGTCGCTGTGCTAGTGTTTGGCAAACTGCTAAACTCCTTGTCAGCCAAGAAAAAACCAAAAGAGAGGAAAATCCAAATCCAAAACACTAGATTACCTTATGGGATTCTCTTGCTCCTCGTCATTGCCATCGTCGCTGTTTTCTTTCGCAAAGAAGTCATCCTCGCTCATGTCCACCGCGGAGTCATTCTCTTCCTCGCTACCAGTCTCTGCAAAAAAATGGTTTCTTGTTAGCACACACAGAGACACAGAGAGAGAGAGAGACACAGAGAGAGAGAGAGAGAGAGAGAGAGAGAGAGAGAGAGAGAAAGAGAGAGATATTCTTGGTAGCAAAGAAGGAATCTAAGGAAGCTCATACCTTCTTCCTCGAGCTCCACACCAGCGGCGGCGGCTGCCGCAATATTAGCACGGATCGTCTCTCGCAACTTCTCCCGACGAGCAATCGCGTGTGAGTCGGCGTTCTCCATGAACAAAGAGACGTACTTCTCGCTCTTTGGGAAGAACTGCTCAAGAAAAGTGGCAGGATTTCAGGAGAAAAGATTGGAATGGCACTAACCTTGATGTATTCCAGGTCTTGCTTTAGTTGCTGGAGCTTGGCAGCGGCCTCGTCCTTGGATTTCTCATCGGGAGCGTTCTTAAGTTCCTTCTCGGCACGCCTCAATCCCCTCTCGACCTTTCTTCGCTCTACCTTAGGCACATTGGAACAACAACGCTCGTGTGATTGGACCGATCGCGCAAAATAGAAAACTCACCGACGAATTTCACTTGCTTGTAGCGTTTGGAGATGTTGCGATCCACTTTGACGCGGGAGGGCTGCAGCCCTGGATTGTGATTGTCCTTGAGCTGCTTCAAGCGGCTCTCCTGGGCCTGCCGCACTTCCTGCGAGAGATTCTGCGAGACAGAAAGGGGAGGAGAAATCCTCGGTGGCTGCGAGCAATCCAAGCACAATACCAGCTTCAGCAGGCGCTGAATGTCGCGAATCTGCCTGCCAAGCGACGCTTGCTTCCTCGCCCGCTCCAATCCATTCTTCTTCAAGGGCTTGGACCGCACATCCAATCGCCTATTTGCGCCACGATCTGGCGCCATCGCTGTGACAAATGGGAGCGCGATCGATCTAAAACCCTACATTAGAGCCCTAGATCATTTGCTCCATCCACTTTGTCAGCCGCCGGATCAGCCCGCATCCAACGGCTATTGTCTCGTGACACATGGCAAATCAAAGGCCGAATTTTAGGGTTCTTGGGGAAAATCATGAGCGAGGAGGGAGATGGAGATCTCCGGGCGCTCTTGCTGCTGGTGATTCACGCAAGGATTTTGTAGAAACAGGCGAGCGATTCTAGAGTTTCTAGCATTTAGATCAGGATGAGGAAGGCGGCAGGGGATGCTCTGAAGCAGGCTTTCATGTCGAGGGAGGATTACGAGAGCCTGCCTGTGGGAAACAAAGTGTGGGACAACCTGGCGAGGCCAGTGCTCCTGTGGGCGACGATTGTTCTAGGAACCGCGGTGTTTGTCGCTGGGATCGCCATGACCGCGATGGTTTTCGAGGTAGGGCGGTGGCATTCGTGCTCCAGGAAACGTTTGACGCCATTGCCAGCAGCCTCGCTCGGTGAATCGCGCGCCGCCTATCTCCTCACCCAGGAGGAGGCCAGGATCTACTTCTGGATGGTCATCTTTCTCCCTACCGCGGCTTTCTTCGCGGTGGCCGTGGTGTATCTAGCATCTGGTAAGCTTGCAAAAGTTCTTTGGATCCCATTGATGGTTTTTTTCTCGCCAGGAATCGTGGTGGCTTACGCAGCTCCAAAGCGGCATTTCATGGTGAGAGTCGTGGAGAACAGCTGCTGCGCTTCCAAGCGAGGTAACCTCTCCTTTGGAGTTCTTGCTAGCTCTTGATCAAGCTCCCCCAGGAGGCGTGCGCTGCCTGTCCACTCTCAACTTGAGCTTCATGGTGGCCGCCATCCTCATGGCGCTCTTCCTGGGCTCCAGCATCGTCACCCTCGACACGGGCTGCTCGATCGCCCTCTTCTGGTGCTACGAGGTGGTGTGCTGGGGGCTGGTTCTCCTGTTTGGGATCACGGCCTTCTTCTTGCACCGAAAGGCGGCGGTGGTGATGGACGAGGGCCAGCACTTTGGCAGCCGGACGGTGGGCATGGAGATGCTCGAGGCCAGCGCGGTGCCGCCTTATGAGATGGAGAGGAGAGTGAACGCCGGGTTCCGGAGCTGGATGGGATCGTCGTCGGTGCTGTCTTCGTCGGACGAGGGCGAGGTGGACGAGATATTCGGGGAGAGTTTTGGGCTGGACGACGACGATGTATGGGACGAAGAACAAGGGGTCATGCACGTCCGGAGCAACAATGATATTACCAGGGGGTGATATCAAAAGTTTGCAGATCTTTATCATGTGTACATTTTGTTGATTGGAAGTCTTTTTGACAGACTTTTCCTCTTTTGTGTCCAACGTTTTTGGAAAAAGCGCTAGTTCTGGAATCCCAAAGTTTATCGACTTACTAATTTTTTTATTTTTTATTTTCTGTGTTTTCTACTTTTATGTACTAATGAAATAAGGATTAAATCCCCAAACTAAGTGGCCACAAAAGTTAGTTAAGCAATCTTTTTTAGCTAATCTTTTTGGGCTTGATAACTTAACTTTATAAGTCAATTGTGAGATAATAAACTTTAGTCTAACTAAATAATTTATTATATAAAAAACATGAAAATTGTTGTTTAAAAATAATTTACTGCATATTTTGGGTTACTTAACTGGTTCACATAGCCAGGAATGAATTGATCAAATTGAAGTTATAATTTCTAAACATAGGATTAATCAACTATTAAATGGTAGAATAAACTAGAATATAGGATGTGTGAGTGCTTGGGATATAAGAATAAATATATTAATTGAAGTTTAAACCTGCTTATTTATGAAAATGGATGGACCAAATTCAGTCCTCTAAATGAACGGTCCATATATTATAGTACTATAATTAATGTATTACCTAGCCAGAGTAATATATATTATATACATATATTTTACAAACTTTATACCGTTTTTCCCTTTGAAAGATGAAAAGGTAATGATAATAAGTTAGATGAAACATTTGGAGTTTCTATTAAGTAATTATAAACTATCACAAGAATCTGAAACTCCCACAAAACCACCAACAAAGTTGTTGACAACCATGATTAAAACAAAATTCAAAGTTATGACACAAACATTCACTGACTACAGAATTCTAGTAAATTAGTTGTAACTCGATATGCAACTACCAAATGCTTAAATCAACCATAAAGCTATAATTTTGAACCGAAGCAAAAGACTTTGAAAGTTATTATAATTTATAAATCACCATTGTAGCAAATAATACATTCCATCTCTAAGTTTGTTTATCAACGATCCTTCAAAACCACCATTAGCTTGGACTCATAACTATAAATAGAATTTGCTTTTGCATCTTCCCTTTGGTCAATATTTGAGGCTCATATTAATTTAAACTCATTACTATTGTCCATATTTAGCATTGTATATGAGAGGTTGGATTGTTTTCCACATCCTCTTTATTGCCTTTTTGAAGGAAATTTTTTTCTTTTAAGCTTGTTCGAACTTGTTATATTTGTCTTCACTCTACCATCTTTATTCGGCCTCACTTCATTATTACATTTATTTGGCTTCACTAAATTAGGGTTAAATATGCCATTTGGGCTTGTTATGTTCATCCTCACTTCACAATTTATATTGTTTGTCTTTGCTCCACTACTATATCCATTTATCCTTACTCTTGGGGCCAAACTTGCATCCATCCCCTCTCAACCCTCCTTTGAAGAAAAAAAAGTTTAAAGTATTGGGGCAAAAAAGAGAAAGCAAGAAAAGGGAGGAAAAAACATTGTGAAAGAAAAAAAAATGAACAAAAAAGCATTTGAAAAGGAATTTTCAACAATTGTCAAAGTAGAAATGGGGAGAAAAGAAGGAAATATATTTAAAGTTTGGAGAATAGAAGATCTATTATAATAAAATGCTTTGGCTAATATAAGATAAACAAAAGATTCACATTGCTCAACTTCTTCAATACATAAGTTAACACTTAAGACATAAAAACTAATAAAGAAGTCCACACTTTCAAGATAACCCCTCAATGATAAAATAAAAGCTCTTACATTCACTCAACCTGAAATTTTAACCAAAGTGACTTAACATTTAGAATAGGGAATATTTAATACTAGAATTGATTCTCAACTTCATGTAAATACTCAAACATCTAAATTAGTATAAGAAGGATAGAAAACACTTAACTCAACATCAGATTATAAATGAAAATCATAAAAGTCAGAAATGATTAATGTGCCAAGAGAAGGAAATATTGCAAACGAGGAAGGAACACTACGAACATGAGAAAGTGGCTTAAACCAAGAAATAAAAAAAGGTTGGGAAAGAGTAGAAAATAAAGTAAAAAGATCAAATGACAAATTAAAGATTGACACTTACCCTGCGAATCTTTAAAGCTTTCTTCATAATAATCAAGTTCCTCATCACAATTCAGAATCCATTTGAGTTAGTAAACATTATTTTCCTATAAACTTGATCCTTGAACATTCTCCAAAAATTGGATTGTATCATCTATAGCTTACCAATTGATATCATGATTATGCTCCATATTAACAGAAGATGGCAAAACACCGAGAACAAGACAAGCTATATAATCACATCCCATAGAAGTTGGAAATGGCAACACAACTAAAGATAAGTGCAACATAAATATGATGACACCCCACAATACCAAAAACTCAATCCAATTGTATAACATCAACAACCTTAAATGATATATTCTTTGATTGATAATTGTGGTAGAAGAAGAGAATGTAATGAAAATTATAAGAAAGAATAGATTTAAGCATAGTGATAGTTAAAATTCTAGATCTTACAAAAATATAATGCAAATATTGATCTAAAAGAGAATGAAGAAATAAGAATAAAAATATGATCCTGAACACTATAGCAAAGCATTGCTGAAAAGCTTTGCCCTTTAGAGACAAATTGCAATAGATGGACAAATTGCAAATAGACAGTCTATATACTATAGTATTATAATTAATGTATTATCTAGCTAGAGTAATATATGTAATATATACATATATTTACAAACTTTATAGATGTTTATAAGCTATAAATACAAGATCAATCTAAATGAATAACAACTATTATATGGTAGAACATCCCAAAATATCTAATACTCAAGATATTTCCTACAGGTTTAACAATAACTAATAATATTGCTTATTCCCTTTAAAATTTATATATATTTATATATTTATTATGCATTACAAGCAATAACAGTTATTTATCTTTTCTAAATATTGAAAAGGTTAGAAATAATAATTTATTTATAATAATTGTTATATTCTCATTTTTATAAGATTGCTCTAACTTGCAATCTAAATTTTTATGGTTATGAGATTGCTCTAACCTACAAAAAAAAATTGTTAGAAATAATAATTTGTATTAGTACCTTTAAAATGGACTTGGCATTTGCTCAAACAATACACCACTTATATCAAGAGTTTGCATTAGGTAAAGCATATATATTTCAATCCATTGAGTAGAAATAAAATGCAATGATGTATTGTGCCCTATGGAGGATTGTAGAAAAGACCCTTTCAAGTTGAAAATGACCAATTCAAACATAAGATATGTGGAATTATGGAAATATTAAACTGCTGATATTTTCCATAAGTTTTTATATACTTAGACATATCTAGGCATATCTAAGGCCAAAAAACTACTAGCAAACTCTCTCTATAAAATGTAGCTATGAGTTAATATAAGATATAGGTTCTATTAATTGATACTTAACATAATCATCAATATACATCAACATATCATCACCACCTTAAATTTCTTTGCATACACAAAAGGTTGGGATTATTACAAGACTCACTACCATCAAAAACATTTTACAACCAGCTAATTTATCACTCTTCCTTTTGGGTAGTGTGCATCTTTGGTGTTGGCCACAATTGAAGGATTACCTCCACACTTTAAGAATACATTGCCTAGCCATCATCAAGTTGTGAAGAGAAAGAGTGCGGATGATACACCATGACAAACTTAGTGCCATAGTGTAATAAGTTAAATGCCTTTGAAAATTTTTTACACTTAAGAATTGAAGTCACTACCATATGATTTGTTTCAACCAATTATTAAATCTATAGAGATAGGCATAGAACTTGAAAATTCACATATCACTACCAAACACTCATTATATATGGCTAAGTACTTCTTATGAGTAAATGACTAGTATAAGCAATAGGATGTCATTGCCATGACCTATCCCCAGATTCTTGCATCAAATTAGCACCTAAGCTAGCATTAGAAACATCTATTTGAAGAATAAATCTTTGTGAGAAATCAAGATATTGGAAGATTAGTGTTGTAGTCAATAATTGTTTAACCTTCATACAAGCATGTTAGCAATGATGAGACCACTTATAAGACAAATCATGGCAAAGAAAATCTGTAGCATTTTAGGAGAACTAAGAGACAAACCTTACCAAATAAGTGACCAATTTGTGCAACTTAGCAATATTCATCCACTAGACATATGTTCTTTGGATCTGGTTATACACCTTAAGTCTTGATTAAACTTACATTTACTTCTCAAGTTGATGTAACACTCATTTCATATGACATAAGTGATCCTCCCAATAATTCATACACATGATTTATTGATAGTATGCATGAGCAAACTTTTTAAACCCCTTGAGCATCTCATCCATTATATGTTGAAATGTGGCAAAAGCCCTAATCAAACTCATGAAATCCAATAGGCATGTGAAAAGCAATTTTCACAACATCTATAAGATCCATTAGGATTTACTGATACTTTAATAAATCAAATATTATGAAGTACTGATTATTGCCTAACTCATTCATCAAATCATCCACCTATGGTAAGGGGTAAAAGTCAAGTAGAGTGATATCATTAAAATGCTAATGATCAATTGGTACCATTAGACTTTTGTATTAAATATAGCTTTATTGCTTAAGGATTATAAAACTAATATATCACTCATAAGTCAAGCATTTGTCTTTTTATTAAGGTCGAAGTCCCATCTTGAATCTCAAGTGCAAAAACTATAATAAGTATGCATATTAAACTATCAAGGGTTTATTTTCAGTTGGTAGCCAAGATGAAGTTTTAAGTAGGCAGTGCACTAAAAGATGCTAAGGCCAAAATGATAACACTCAAGTCAAGCATACTTGGAGATTAAGTCATGGATGCCTTAACTATTTGCCATAATCCTCTTCTTTCTCCATAAATCCTTCATTATTCCTCCCCAAGGTTATAAATGATATCTCCTTCCTCTCCTATATAATCGTGTCCTCTCCTAGAAGAGTCATCAACTTTCACTATAATCCACTCTCCTAATCCTAATTGAACTTAAGAGAAAAGAGAGCATGTGAGGAGATTTAAGTGATAGCATTAGATAGACTAGGCTACCCACTAAATCCAGG